TTACACTGCTACTTCAGTGACAGGCATAACTACACAGAATGCTTCGTAAGAAGGAACCACCCGCTTGCAGTCGATTGAGATAACGAGGTTGTGGCGACAATTCATCGAATCCTTGCTGAGGATCAGCAGCGCTTAGGAATGTGTCGCCTCGCCACACGAGAAAAACGTGAGGTTAGGAGAAATGCGGCTGTGGACGGTGGCCCGGGTTTGGCGGCGAAAGACGAGGTCTATTCTCTACCAGGGACACGAAGATCTTTGTTCACCAGCAAGCGCAAATGCACTTGAACCTATAATGTTTTAGGGTTGTGTGAAAGGTTTTAGGACCCATAATATTTTCACACAAAGGGGTAATCGTCCCAAAACGCTCAAGAGCGCACGAGCCTTTCAACTTCTTTTGTAAAAGCTATTTTCGTTCAGCGGGAAAACCAAATCCAATCCACCTTTCCAGTGTGTGCTCGCAAGCGCATCTTGAGTCGTCGAACCAGAATGAACATCGCAGTAAAAACGATTATTCGGAAAATAAAATTCAGATTTTCCTCCACAAGGCAAGCCCATGCCATGGATCGCAAAAATCTGTTACACGTTCTGCCATCACCGCCCCACCATATCCACCCCACGTCAGCCAGTCCTTAAACCAAGGATGAGCTGTCCAGCTCGATCCGCCCCTCATCTGTCCAGTCATCTGTACAGTCTGCTCCCTCAGGCTGTGTGGAGCGGTACATATTCCCTTGGTTTCGGATGGGAAGATCTTTGCACCGTAGAACCGTACTGCAACATTACAAAAAGCGATTCTACCGTGCACAGCCTTCGAGTCCGGACTTTGCCGCCGTTCTTGCAAGCTCACTTTCACAACTCTTCGGGCTGCTTCAAAATGGGAACACACCAATCTTTTATCCAAGCTTTCCTCTTCAACTGCAAGTTTCATCAGTTCCGCCGCCTTCATTACCTTCCTTTCTCGGTAACGACCAGCTCGCGCCCTTATCACATTGATTTATTTGCAGAGCGAAGCTCGAGGAGATATTCTGAGTTAATACCTGATGGCGGAACAAGCTCCCTCTGCAGACTGCGCGCGAGAACCAGCCGCAGCTGAAGCTGCCGACCCTTCATCGCACCAGCATTCGTCGCACAAACATTCGTCGCACAAGTCATCCGAGAAGGAAATCCTCTCCGAGCTCCTCTCCATCGCCGACATTCCCGTTGCGTCGCACAAGTCGTCGTCGTCGTCGCACCACCATTCCCGTCGCCATGCGGCGCCGGCGACCGTCGTCGACCCAATGCACCTCAAGACGGCGTCGCAGCACCTGAAGGCGGCGCGGCACCAGCAAATAGTGGACTCAGATGCATCGGATTCTGCGACGGGCTCTTCCCCCCCGAAGCAAAAGATTCGCAATCGGGTTGCCGCGAGTACAAACGCGAACGCGACGCTGGACAGCTTCTTGACGACGTCGGGCGACAACTCGCAGAGTGGTAACCTGGCTGATGGCGAAAACTCCACTTCGGTTGGAGACAACGGGGTTACAAACGTTTCGGGGGTAGAAGACATGATGTTTCCTTCTTATTCCGACCATGCGAAACCGGATCACGTCGCCGAGGCTGTCGCAGATGTCGCAGGGCTGACGATTAAGGACGAAACGAACTCAGCAGTAAACGTAAACGACGCGCCGAAAGTGGACACCAGCGAGAAGAGCGAGATGAGAAAAAGTAACAGCGTGAGCGCCTTGGAAAATGCGGACAAGAAGCCTCAGTCGCGCGGTTCGGTGAATGTCGAAACGTCGGAAGTTCTTGCCGCGATGCGCGTCTGGGGTGCGAACAGAGGAGCGGCGAACGCGGCGGGGAATGCTGACTCGGCATTCATGCAGCCATATCAAGGTAGCAGTTACAGCAGCTACGTTGACGACCACAGAACTTCGCCGAGGGTTTCGTCGGACGCTCCTGCTCGTGAAGAGCCGGCGAAACTGGAAAGATCGCGATCGAAAAGTTACCCCGAGTTGGCAGAGCTGGCGAAATCGACAGCTGTGCCGAAGATCAAACCGCTCGGCGGAATGCGGTCCGGGGAGAAATCGGAGGGAAAGGCCGCGGTTATGGATAAGCTCGGGGTTGGTCAAGAGGATTCGGAATATGCAGGTAAGCCTCAACAATGGAACTGCATAGAGAGAAGTTGTAACACTTTACCAACAAACATACACTACGTAAGACGTTTAGCCCCTGCCCCTAGCGTCTTTTTCGCCTTCCTCAGTCCCAGCCCATGCCCATACCCATGACCATGCCCCTGCCCATGCCCATGTCCATGCCCCCATGGCCGTGCCACTGCGCATGCCCATGCCCATGCCCATGCCCATGCCCATGCTCGTGCTCATGCTCATGCCCGTCCGCTCCTCCCTTCTGCTTCTCCTCCATTCTTCTTGCAAGTTGAAACTGATAGCCACCTGTAATTTCATCCAATTGTTGCTCTTAACCGGATGGGTGGTGACATGTGCCTGGTTGTAACAGATACGGAGTATTTCGGCTGGCTCTTGTCGGGAGGGTCTAAGTTCGCCAAGCCTGCGAGCACGAGGCAAGGTCAGGAGCAGCCTCCGAGCCAGTAGCCGGACCTGTGCCTTGTAATGACCCTCATCCTCTGCCTTGTGTGAAATGCACTGCTGCATTTATTTTCGCGTGCCTGATTCCATGTAAGAGAACACTGTGCAACAAACTGAACAAGCATGCGTGAAATTTCAGATGTATAGATCCTGGAAGTGAGCTACACCCCTTACACTGTATACTACATCCAGTATGCAGTTTCCTTTTGCCTGTTGTGTGCAGTTCGTTCAACTCTACCTCTTCCTCCAATCGTATATCTTCCCCTGTTTTTTTCGTCCGTTCTCTGCAAGCAGACCCAGAAGATCAATGCCAAGAGACTGCTACTCCTAACAGCATTCAGAGTGGGGAAATCAGCCTTGCAGGTGTTGAAGAAGCTTCTAAGGACGATCCATCAAGGCCAACCTCAGCTGTCACATGCACTGAATTTAGACTCAAGCCTGGAACAGAAATCCGAAATGGTACCCACTGTCAACCTCCCTCTGCATCATCCACCCGCGGCCTAGATAGTGGAGCTCAAAATAGCACTGGCAGCGGCAGCAGCAGCAACGGCGAAGTTCATTCAGGGAAAGGCAACCCCATTTTGTTTCAAAAGTCTGGCTCCAAAGCCTTCCTGAGAGAAAAGGGGAATGGATGGTTCTCGTCGCCTCTTTCCAAGTTGAAAAGAGAGGGGCGAAGAAGCATCAGTGGCAGCAGCAGCACCATTCCCCAATCAAGCACCTTTGTGGAGGGTAACCATACTGAAGCTGCCAAGAGAAGGAGCAGTTTGGATGAAACGGATCGGCTGAGAGAGGAGGTGTGTGCAGGGAACGTTGTGACAGCCTGTCCTGCTGCTGATGCGGCTGTAGCTGTTGTTGTAGCTGGAGTGGAAGCTGAGGTGGAGAGAGGGGCAGATGTATCAATGCGGCCTGATTCGGTTAGAAAGGAAGAGACTGAAACGAGTGAGCATGTGGTTTCATCGAAACGGGGAATAGCTTGGTGGGGTTTGATCCGTAGGAAGTTGACAGCTCTTTAGGCTCGTTTGCCATTCTTGAGTGCAAGAACACAAAAACACTTTAGTTGGTGTATGCTTGGTTTAGAATCAATTTTAAACTTACGCTTTTTTGCAGTTTGGTTTTGAGAAAAAGCACACACAAGGTACACTCCAATCCGATAGTCGTCGCAACTAATCTTGTATGTGAAGCCAAATTTCCATCACATCGGAGCCGCCAAATTGCGCGCGAAACTGAATACCGCCGTCGATCACAGCGAGAATCCCGAAGCTTGCCGAGGGAAGGGAGAGAGCAGCAGCAGTGTGCATCACAGCATGCAACTGTCAAGGCATGACTGTGAGTGGAAGACTGACACGGGTCAACGAGCATGACAAGCCATGGCTTGTCAGCGACATCAAATGTGTTTCAGTTCAGGGCTGGCTGTGACTGGTTTGATCAATTACGGACGGTTTTGCAAGCAGAGAGCGAGGAAGAAGTTCCTAAATGACGGTTCATGCAGGATGATGGCTGTGGAGAGAGTAGACATGGCGTTGTGAAGATGGTGGCGGAGCGATTATCGTCTCAATTGCATCGTCTTCAGTTGCCTTTTCGTCTTCCAATATGTCTCTCCGTCGTAGGATTTGCACATTAGAGTAGGGAAACCTGTAGCCCATTTTTTTCCGTCAATGTTTGACGGACCTGCGTCTCCTTGTTTAGCGATGGACGCGGTTCAGGGAGAAGCGAAGACGGCGAGGCGAGGGGAAGAGAACGCACAGAAACGGAGCAAGCACCAAGGAGACGACATGGGATCTGGCTTGGGAAACGACTCAGCAAGGATGATGAAGCGGACGGGGAGGAGGACTACTAAGGGACGGGAATCCGCGAGCACGAAGAAAAAGAAGAAGATTATCCTGCAGCTGCGACAGTGGGTGGCGTTTCGCTAGGAATTTCCTCCTCAGAATTCCGTATCTTGCTTTCGACACTCGTGACTTTTCCATTCGTTGATCCCTCTTACGATTCGACTCACTTCCCGCTCAAATCGAAATCTGAGGCTGTTGAATTTCCTCAAAAGTCGTTCAACTCAAGGGGAAGCTACCCTCGCTTACCCACTTTCTGGGTTGTCACCCTATACTTCTCTCCGTTCTACTGGTATCAGCAGGACGTCCTGCAGGCGGCTCTGCAACGCAACACCATTGTCTACTTTTGACACGACTCAGAAGTCTGTTGTCAGCGGCTACGCTTCTCTAACTCACTTTCTCTGTTGTCACCTGCTGCTTTTTCTCCGTTCTGCTGCATGTACCAGCAGGAGGATCTTCAGGTGCCTCTGGACACTATCGTCTACTGTTGAGACATCTGAATCTGTTACTTCCTACTACTTTGCTTCGTTCTGCAGGTACCAGCAGGAGGTTATTCAGGTGGCTCTGGAGCGCAACACCATCGTCGTCTTTTGAGATGTGTCACGAGTCTGATGCCACCTGCCTCCGCTCACTTTCCCTGTTACCACCTACCTACTGCTCTGCTTTGTTCTGCAGGTACCAGCAGGAGGTTCTTCGGGTGGCTCTGGAGCGCAACACCATTGTCTACCTGGAAACCGGCATGGGGAAGACTCTGATTGCCGTCATGCTTATGCAGGTGAGTCTGATTATGAAAGGCACGGATTAAGCTGATTCGGAGGTCATGGTCTGATACAGAAGGGCATTAGGGGTTTTAGAATGCCGTTGACTGACATTAGTGTGTGGATCTGCATGACATTTGTCGAATCTGGGTAATTTTACCTGAATCAGAATACAATTGTCAGAATAAAAACGAGGTTAGTTGATGTTCGTTTTTTTACGCAGCATAACTTTGCCATTGCATTGGGAATTGTTGGGTCACTCGTCTATGGTAGTCTTGCTAACTGCTGCTGAGTGTCTTACCACTCAAATTAGAAATACGTGATAGGTATAGTCTTACCACTCTCTTCCTTCCTCATGCTCTCATGCAGGCGTGCCATCAGATGCGGGAGAGGAGTGGTGCTGCAGGTTGCTTTTGAGAATTCTCAATAGTCTTGCTTACTGCTGCTGAGTGTCTTACCACTCACTCCCTTCCTCACGCTCGCATGCAGGCTCGCCGTCAGATGCGAGAGAGGAGTGGCAAGATCTGTGTCTTTCTGGTGCCGGCGGTTGCTCTGGTGATTCAGGTCGGTGCGGGGAGCAGGTGGGTGAGATGAGAGTGGTGGATAGGATGGGGCTCGACAGGGAAGGTGACCTGTGAGTCAATTTTACCACATAAGATCTGTGTCTTTCTGGTGCCGGCGGTTGCTCTGGTGATTGGGGGATAGATAGGATGGAGCCAGACTAGGAAGGTGACGTTCGAGGTGATTCACAAGATCTGTCTCTTTCTGGTGCCAGCGGTTGCTCTGGTGATTCAGGTTGGTGCAGGAAGACAAGTGAGAGTGGCAATATCCGGCCAAACAATGAGTGAAAACTGGCTTGATTGTCGGGACTCTGGAATTTTAAAGATGCATAAATAAGCAGAACTCCTGCTACAGTTCCCTAATTGTGATACAATTCCTGGTTGTGTGTGGGTATGTGCTAGTGCGACACAAGATTGTTTGTGAATTCATCCCCTTGCTTCCACATTTCCATGCAGCAAGCAGCAAGTGTTGGAGCAGCAGACGGACATGCGGGTGGGGTACATCTCACATCGTGATTGTGTGTTCATGCATGCCAATGTGATACATGATTGTTTGTAAACCCGGCCCCTTGCTTCCACTGTTTCCTGCAGCAAGCGGCAATGGTGGAGCAGCAGACGGACATGCGGGTGGGGAGTCATCACACATCTTGGTTGCGTGTTCATCCATGCAAATGAGGCACGTTCTTGTTTGTGCATTCATCCATCCCCTTGCTTCCATCCCCTCACTACAGCAAGCGGCAGTGGTGGAGCAGCAGACGGACATGCGGGTGGGGAGGTACAGCACAGACACAGAAATTAAATACGAGGCGTCTTGGGTGCTGAAACAGGTCTCCAGGCATGAGGTGCGCGCAAACAGCAGAGTCAGTCTTAGCTTGGCTCATTTTCATGGTGATATGGCTGTGGGATATGCGGGTGGTGGGTAGGTGCAGCAGCAGGTCTCCAGGAATGAGGTGCGCACAGTTCAGCAGAGTCAGTCTCAGGTTGGCTTCAAATCATGGTGATATGGCAGAGGGACATCCGGGTGGGGAGGTACAGCTCAGACACATAGATCAAATACGAGGCCACATGGGTGCAGCAGCAGGTCTTCAGGCATGAGGTGTGTACCTCTCACCGTTGGCACGTTCAGGCAGGCTCCTTCCCTATGGTGAGGGAAGCACAGCACGGACACAGAGATCAAATACGAGGCCACATGGTTGCAGAAACAGGTCTCCCAGCATGAGGTGCGTACCTCTTAGCATCGGCAAGTTCAGGCAGGCTCATTGCCTATGGTGATACGGGCGAGGGACATGCGGGTGGGGTGGGGAGGTACAGCACAGACACAGAGATCAAATACGAGGCCTCGTGGGTGCAGCAGCAGGTCTCCAGGCATGAGGTGTGTGCGATTTAGGATATGCAGAGTTCAGGGTTTTTGGCTACCTGGCTCGTTGGTAAACCTTAAGCCTTGAACCCTGGAAGCTGCAACACACCTTCTTGCTCCCCCCTTGGCTATCCCTAACCCCCTTGTCCGTGGTTCCTCTGCTGCTCTCCAGGTACTGGTGATGACGCCTCAGGTGCTCATGAACCTGCTGCAACACACCTTCGTATCTCCCCATGCCATACTCTTTCCCCTGCCCGTCTTGCCTCACCTCTGCTGCTTTCTCTGGCCCCGCATCTCTCCCCCCTACCAGGTGCTGGTGATGACGCCTCAGGTGCTCGTGAACCTCCTGCAGCACGCCTTCGTATCTCCCTGTGCCGTACTATTTCCCCTGCCCCTCTATCCTCACTTGTGCCGCGTTTTCTGTGCACGCCCCGCCCCTCACCCCGCTCCAGGTGCTGGTGATGACGCCTCAGGTGCTCGTGAACCTGCTGCAGCACGCCTTCTCACCCCCCCGTGCCGTACTATTTCCCCTGCCCCTCTATCCTCACCTGTGCTGCGTTTTCTGTGCGCGCCCCGCCCCTCACCCCGCTCCAGGTGCTGGTGATGACGCCTCAGGTGCTCGTGAACCTGCTGCAGCACGCCTTCGTATCTCCCCGTGCCATACTCTTTCCCCTGCCCCTCAAACCTCACCTGTGCTGCGTTTTCTGTGCACGCCCCGCATCTCTCCCCCCGCTCCAGGTGCTGGTGATGACGCCGCAGGTGCTCGTGAACCTGCTGCAGCACGCCTTCCTGTCACTCTCATCAGTCGATCTCCTCATATTCGACGAGTGCCATCACACCGCCAAGGACCATGCCTACGCCACTATAATGAAGGTGAAGATCAATGTTGTGAAGTGTGAGTGAGTCAGTGTGGGGCACCGTTGGGGCAGGGCAGGGCAGACAAACCCGCCTTCCTGTTTTCTCTCGTCATTGAATCCCCTCATATTCGACAAGTGCCATCACGCTTTTGAGACGTCTCAAAAGACGAGTGCCATCACACTTTTGAGACGTCTCAAAAGACGAGTGCCATCACACTTTTGAGACGTCTCAAAAGACGAGTGCCATCACATCACACCGCCAAGGACCACCCCTACGCAACAAGCATGAAGGTGAAGTCTTGTTGTGAATCGAACAGAGAGGCAGTGTGGATTTTGTACAACACTGCCCCTCTCTTCGATTCGCAACAATCAACCTTTTTTCTTCCTGTCTCATATTTTTAAGTCGACTCAAATCTCGTGAAGTGAAGAAAGAGCTAGCACGGAACACCCTTCACCCTTCAACCACATGGTTTGAACGGACCTACCAAGGACCGTGATGAGGGACGTATTCATTCTTGTCACAAACCACCAAACCAGGGACCATCCCTGCGTGAAAGTAGATGAGGGTGAACCCAAGCGATGTATTCTGGCAGACAAACACACCTTCCTTTCCCGCTCTTCAGTAGATGTTGGGGTTTTCCATCTCATCACACCATGAAGGCCCAGCCCTATGCTATGCGCATACAACGATTGAATCTTCTTCATTTCTTTCCGATGCTTCGTTTTCCTGAGAAGACATGGTATTTTCCCCTGAATTTGGATGGGACTAGCAGCATTTGAGTCGTTCTAGGCCTTCCCCATCCTGCACCCACCCCTTCGTCCGAGCAGACGTGGTACTTCTCCCTGAAGCAGAGCGAGAGGCTGCTCGTATTCGGCATGACAGCGTCACCCATCAACACCAAGGGCAGCGGGTCGGAAGAGGGCAGCAAGCATCTGAATCCCGCCCAACCCTTTTCTACCCCTCACCACCCTTATCCGAGAGCAGACGTGGTACTTCTCCCTGAGGCAGAGCGAGAGGCCGCTCATATTCGGCATGACGGCGTCGCCCATCAACACCAAGGGCAGCGGGTCGGAGAAGTCGTGCGTGCAGCAGCTGCTTGACTTTGAGCGCATTCTCGACTCCAAGGTGTGACACTTGGTTTTGAGGTGTGGCACTTGGTGGGTTTGAGCGCACTTGGTTTTGAGGTGTGGCACTTGGTGGGTTTGAGTGCACTTGGTTTTGAGGTGTGGCACTTGGTGGGTTTGAGCGCATTCTCGACTCCAAGGTGTGACACTTGGTTTTGAGGTGTGGCACTTGGTGGGTTTGAGCGCATTCTCGACTCCAAGGTGTGACACTTGGTTTTGAGGTGTGGCCCTTGGTGGGTTTGAGCGCATTCTCGACTCCAAGGTGTGACACTTGGTTTTGAGGTGTGGCACTTGGTGGGTTTGAGCGCATTCTCGACTCCAAGGTGTGACACTTGGTTTTGATGTGTGGCACTTGGCGGATTTGAGCGCATTCTCGACTCCAAGGTGTGACACTTGGTTTTGAGGTGTGGCACTTGGTGGGTTTGAGCGCATTCTCGACTCCAAGGTGTGACACTTGGTTTTGAGGTGTGGCACTTGGTGGGTTTGAGCGCATTCTCGACTCCAAGGTGTGACACTTGGTTTTGAGGTGTGGCACTTGGTGGGTTTGAGCGCATTCTCGACTCCAAGGTGTGACACTTGGTTTTGAGGTGTGGCACTTGGTGGGTTTGAGCGCATTCTCGACTCCAAGGTGTGAGTTCTGGTGATCTGAAGGTGCATGATGGCGACACTCAGGTCGGAGCAGTCGCGCGTGCGGCAGCTGCTGGACTTTGAACGCATACTCCACTCAAAGGTGAAGTGCTTGGTTCCTAGGTGTGGCACTTGGTAGGTTTGAAGGTGTGAGTTCTGTCTGGTGATCTGAAGGTGCGGCAGCTGCTGAACTTTGAACGCATACTCCACTCAAAGGTGAAGCGCACCTGATGGATGAAATTATGGGATGGTTGGTTGGATGGTTGGTGTGCCACCTGATTGATCCAAGGGTAGGACACATGATGAATTCGGAATGGTGACACTCCCTCCCTTTTCCCCTCTCTGTCTGCTGCAGCTGTACACTGTTCTGGACAGATCCTGTCTGGTGGGGGTGTTACCTAGTGCTGGGATCCTTTGTTGCCCTCTTCCGAGCAATCCCCCCTCCCCCCCTCCCCCTCCCCCCCCCCTCCCCTTACCCTTCCTCTCTCCTCCACCTCTACACGGTGCTGGACAGGTCGTGTCTGGTGGAGGTGCTACCCAGCGCGCAGACCATCCAGTCCCACCCACCCACTCCCCCTACCCCTCCTTTCCCCCCTCCTGTCTGCCTCCGTTCTCCCCCCTCCCCCCCCCCCTCTGTCTCCCCCAGCTCTACACGGTTCTAGACAGGTCGTGTCTGGTGGAGGTGCTACCCAGCGCATGGACCATCCAGTCCCTCTACGACCCCCCTGGGGAGCAGCAGGCGCAGGTGCTGCTGCAGCAGCTGAGGGAGGTGCGACCCAGTGTTGAGGTCCTGTCTGGTGGAGGTGCTTCTGTGCTGGGGTAATCTGTTCTTCTCTTTCCCCTAACCCCTCTCCCTCCCCCTTTCCATTGTCCCTGCACCCCCCTAGCTCTACACGGTGTTGGACAGGTCATGTCTGGTGGAGGTGCTACCCAGCGCGCAGACCATCCAGTGCTGCCGTTCCCCCTTCCCCCGGTTTTTCCCTCATTCTGTCTCCCCCAGCTCTACACGGTTCTGGACAGGTCGTGCCTGGTGGAGGTGCTACCCAGCGCGCAGACCATTCAGTCCCACTACGACCCCCCTGGGGAGGAGCAGGCGCAGGTGCTGCTGCAGCTGCTGCTACAGCTGCTGGGGAGGGTGAAGAAGGAGAGGGAGAGAATAGTGCTGGGGTCATCTGTTGTTCTCCTCGTTCCTTCCCCCGTTTCCCCCCTGCTGTCTTCCCCAGCTCTACACAGTCCTGGACAGGTCGTGTCTGGTGGAGGTGCTACCCAGCGCGCAGACCATCCAGTCCCACTACGACCCCCCTGGGGAGGAGCAGGCGCAGGTGATGCTGCAGCTGCGGGAGAGGGTGGAGCAGGAGAGAGAGGGGATGGTGCGATGGATAGAGGAGGAGGGGAGGAAGGTGGTAGATGAGAGTGGAGGGATGGGGCAGGAGGGGGGGAGGGAGGGGCGGGTGGAAGAGGGGAGGGAGCAAGAGCAGGGGAGGGACGGGAACCAAGGCGATCACCAAAGCAATCACCAGCAGAGGTGGACAGCAGCGTATGGGGAGGTGCGGCGGAGGATGGTGAAACGAGTCAAGTACTTTGCAGGGGCGCTTGACTGGTGCCTTACTGACCTCGGCCGCTACCCCGCATTCCTGGTACGGCCTTGTGGCCTTCTCAGTGGTATCAGGTATGACGCACCTTTCACCCCACCTCTAATAGAGCGGTGGACTGCAGCATATGGGGACTCTGCTAGCCAGCAGTGTTGATCGACAATGGGACGTGGCAACGTCCCAATCACATTGATCGACAGACAGGTACCCCAGTGACCTTCCTTGGCCACTACCTACCCCGCACCACTCTTCACCTAACCCCGCACCTGCACTCACCAGGCTCTGCAGTCGCTGGGTGAGCGCGCAAGTAGCTAACCAGTGGGGCCATGGACCAGCATGAGAGCACCTTTATATTCTGCACCTTTCCACCTCCCCCCCCGCTTCCCCCGCGCTCACGAGGCTCTGCACTCGCTGCGTGCGCAGGCAGCCAGTGGGGGCAGGGACCAGCACGAGGAGAACGCCCGCCCACCACACAACTCTTTCTCTAACTCCCTCCCCCTCCACCCACTTTTCCCCTTAACCCGCCTCCAGGCTCTGCAGGCGCTGCGTGCACAAGCGGCCAGTGGGGGCATGGACCAGCATGAGGAGAACGCCCGCCTGCGAGATGCGTTTGCAGCCGTCCGATTGGAGTTCATCAACCGCTGCGAGGCGTTCCTGAGATGTGGATTGCCACCCGGTAAGAAAGTCGTCTTGCCTGTAACTGGCCTGTTACTGGTCAATCTCTGTTGTTAATTCGTTTGATTCTTTGATTTAGTTGACCATGTCATGTCAGATATAAACTGTTCTTGTACGCCCCTGAATTTTAATTTATATCACTGCTCACACCCCTTCCTTCTTGCATAACCATCCCCTGGAGCCCGGATTTGAAGTCATCAAAGCCAGAAAGGAAGCTGCACCTTAGTCCTGACCATCCCCTGGGCCGAGCTTCATTTCTCGATTTATTGCCTTTCCGTCCCTTTCCCATGTGTATAAATCCAGAGGCCAAGGCACCAGGCCCTGTCGGAATAGAAAACACTGTTTCTGGCAGCGCATCCCTCTGCTCTCCTCACCCCCAAAATCGCCCACCTCCTCGTCTCTTGTGCACCCTCCTTGCCCTGTCCCCTCCCGCTTGGTTTATTTCTCAATGTGATTCCAGAGGCCAAGGAACCAGGCCCAGGCGGACTAGAAGCCACCCTCTCCCTCGCATCGCACCCCTCTGCACTCCTCACGCCCAAAATCGCCCACCTCCTCTCCCTCCTCCGCCTCTATGCCTCCCAGCCGTCCCCCACCATTGTCATTTTCGTGGAGCGCATTGTCACCGCACACAGCCTCTCTCGACTCCTCCGTTTGCTGCCCTCGGTTGCTGCTTCTCTGAAGGCGGATTTTGTGGTTGGTGCTGGGGCTGCCAAGATCGGAATCTCGATCAATCAGGGCGGGACAGCTAAGCACTCCCGGCCAGATTCTGCAATTTCGCGCTTTCGTGCAGGGAAGGTGAGTGGGTGGGGGGGGGGGGGAGAGAGAGGGGAGGGGTAGAGAGGAAAGCAGGAGGGCATGGACACACCGGCGTGCCACACAGTCCCTCAGACTTTCTTCTCTCTTGCTGTTTCCCTCCCCTACCCTGCTTCCCACAGCTGAACGTGCTGGTGGCAACGAGTGCAGGAGAGGGGGGAATGGACATACCGGCGTGCCACACGGCGATCCGATTCGACCACATTCTCAACGTTGCTTCCGTCCCCTATATCTCCCCTGCATCTCTCTCTCTCCCCCCGTGCGTCCCCCACACAGCTGAACGTGCTGGTGGCAACGAGTGCGGCAGAGGAGGGCATGGACATTCCGGCGTGCCACACGGTGATCCGATTCGACCGCATTCTCACCGTGCGCTCCATGCTGCAGTCTCGCGGCAGGGCACGGAAACCAGGCGCGCACTTCCGAGTGCTTGTGCAACGGTAGGTTGTCTTTCAGCCCCCCATAAGCACAGTTCAGTGATCCGATTCGACCGCATTCCCAACGTGCGCTCCATGCTGCAGTCCCGTGGGAGGGCACGGAAACCAGGCGCGCACTTCCGTGTGCTTGTGCAACGGTAGGTTGTCTTTCAGCCCCCCATAAGCACGGTACGGTGATCCGATTCGACCGCATTCTCAATGTGCGCTCCATGCTGCAGTCCTGTGGCAGAGCACGGAAACCCCCGGGGCACACTTCCGAGTGCTTGTGCAACGGTAGGTTGTCTTTCAGCCCCCCATAAGCACGGTACGGTGATTCGACTCGACCGCATTCCCAACGTGCGCTCCATGCTGCAGTCCCGTGGCAGGGCGCGGAAGCCAGGAGCGCACTTCCGCGTGCTTGTGCAACGGTAAGTGGTCTTTTCTGACCCCCCATAAGCATGGCACGGTGGTGAGTTTGTTTTATAGCTGCATTCTCAACGTGCGCTCCATGCTTCAATCTCGTGGCAGAGCGAGGAAGCCAGGAGCACACTTCCGTGACCTTGTGGAACGGTGGGTGCCAGTAGCGTAACGGCACGCATTGTGGGAGGTATGAAAGGTTGAATCATGCAAATTCTCAATGTGCGCTCTATGCTGCAAATCCCGGGGCAGGGCGAGGAAACCCGGAGCACACTTTCGTGTCCTTGTGCAGTGGTGAGTGGGTGGATTATGGTGGGTAGCATGTGATCTTTGAGGCTGGTTGGTATGGTAGTAGTATTCCGTTCTCCCTCTCCCTTTCGGTTCTCCCTTTGCGCATGAACTTGGCCAGCAACAACGGACAGAGTGGAGCTTGCATGGTGATTTTGTCTGTCGCTTATTTCCTCCTAGTCTGACTCGATTACACTGCTGCCCGTTGCCTGCTCCGTTGCCACCCACCCACCCCCACTCGCCCTCCCCTCCACTCAGCGGTGATAGCAAGTACCAGGAGGACTTAGCCAAGTTGATGCGCAACGAGGGCATTATGCATTATGCGCAACGAGGGACTGTGCAGCAGCAGCTGGGGCATGTGCTTACGTTCCGTGTTCCCCCTTCCTCTTACCTGTTTATACCCCATTTATCTCGGTGGTGATACCAAGTACAAGGAGGACTTAGCCAAATTCATGCGCAACGAAGGCACCATGCAGGCCACGGTGCAGCAGCAGCAAGACCCACTCTCTTCCCGCCTGTTCTCCCTTCCTGAGCAGGGGCGATACCAAGTACGAGGAGGACTTAGCCAAGTTCATGCGCAATGAAGGCACCATGCAGGCCACGGTGCAGCAGCAGCGCAACACCCAGAACCAGAATGAGAACCGAGGGGAGAGGGAAGGAGATAGAGGCCTGGGAGGGCCGTTTTGGGAAGATGAAACGGAGGAGGAAGATGCGGAGGAGGGAGGAGAAGAGGAAGGAATGGATGTGGATTGGGATGGGAGGGTGAACCTGGAATTGGGGGCAGGGGAGGTAGGGGAGGGGGATGGAGTGATTGCAAGAAGAGAAGGTGGTGTGGATGGAGAGGGTGTGAGAGGTGAGAAGGGGGAAGGGAAGGTGGAGAGTAGGTGGGGGATGAGAAGCGGCAGCAAGGTGTTGGTGGTACCGAGTACAGGGGCGCTGGTGACGAGACAGGGCAGTGTGGCTCTCGTGTATCAGTTCTGCAACACTCTGGGGACCAATGACGGGTGGGTTGCCTATTAAAATTTGTGTGAGTATGTGTGTGTGTGTGTTTCTTTTCTTTCTTTCTTTGTTTTCAACCCACGTTTTCACCCCCTCTCCCTCTCTCTCTACCCCACACTACACCACGCATGACATGAGTTGCGGGCTCCAGCCATGCGTCTCTCTCTGTCCCCCCCTCCCATGCCACTTTCCTCAACGACGATATCGAACCACCCACTTCCCCTTTCCCGCCCCCACCCACACCCCCCCCCACCTCCCGCCCATGCACACCAACATCACATCACACCACACAGGAGCGGCGTGCTGCAGCCATTCTTCTCTGTTAACTCCTCCCCAACCGATTCAAGCACCACTGCTGCCGCTGCATCTTCTCCCATTGACCCACCTGCACCCCTCTTTACAGTCACACTCCGCCTGCCAGCCACTGCTGGCGTCCCTGCCATCCATGGGCCGCCATGCCGGTCAAAAATCGCCGCCCGGCGGGCTGTGTGTCTGCAGGCAGTGAAGATTCTGCTGGATTCTGGGCGGCTGAGTGAGAGGCTACTGCCGATTCGGTGGGGGAAGAAGAGGCAGAGCAAGTTTGGTGCCACTGTGGCGCCTGAGAGAGGTGGGTGGGTGCTTAGGTCTTTAGTGCTTGCACATTCACGGGAGAAATCAGCAAGAGTTTCCTTTAGGTCAAGTCGAAATTACAGAATTGGTTGAACAGGCAATGATAGAATTGACTATATTAGGCACCTAGCAACCCTGCAGCTAGCCTGGTCGACTGCCAGCACAGCTTAGTTGACCGCCTGCCAGCATTGCGTAGAAGAGCCGCGCCAGCACTGCAGAAAAGCGACCTGCCAACACTGGAGTTCGACGGCGTGCCAACGCTGCAGCAAAGCGGCTTTCCAGCGTTGCCCCGTAGAAGACAGCAGTGCGCACGCTCGCAGGTGCGCGCAGACAAGAGGCCCGACTTGCATCGTTGTGCATCCGTCGGCTGTTGTCTGCGCCTGATGAGCCACATCGACTTCGAGATACCAAACCGAAGTCGCCTTCGCCATCGCGACCTCGACGACATTCGCGTGCCTCCGCAGAACTCGTCGAGCAGGTTACTCGGTCGACCTGGTTGACCACCAGGTGCTTCCGGTCGACCAACACTGCTTGTGGTGCCTCTGGTCGACCACCAGGTGCCTCTGGTCGACCACAGCTGCTGTCGAGCTACCCCTTTCGTCGACCAGAACCGTCAGCGGCTGTCGCTGAGCTCCCGTCGTCGACCGCTGCTCACTTGTGAGGTCGACGGACTGCTCTGTCGACCTCTCGGTCGAACTAAAGGTCGACGGACTGCTCCGTCGACCTCCCGGTCGAGCTGCAGGTCGATGGACTGCTCCGTTGACCTCCTGGTCGAGCTGCGGGTCGACAGACTGCTCTGTCAACCTCCCGATTGAGCTGTAGGTCGACGGACTGCTCCGTCGACATCCCGGTCGAACTGCCCCTCCTAGTCGACGGCCCACCCGTCGCCCAGACCAGTCAGTTGCAGCTGTCGAGCTCCCTGGTCGACAACAACACCACAGCGGTCTCCTGCAGCTCGACGAAGCCTGCCAAGCAGCTCTCCCACTGTGAACGGTCGGGTGCTACTCCTGTACATCTGACGAAGTCATCGGCGTTGCCCAAGCGAGGGCGGGGCCAACACTCCATTCCCGTTAACACCACCGTGGCGCCTGAGAGGGATGGGTGGGTTTGTAGTCGTATGGTTCAAGGACAAGGCAGAGCAAGTTTGGTGCTACGGTGGCGCCTGAGAGAGGTGGGGCGGGGGAGGTGAGAGGGGTGGGGACAAGGCATGTGGGAGAAGCGGGGGCACGATATGCATGAGGGTTCTGTGGGTGTTATCTTTCCCCCCATTAATTTCCCCATTGAGCAACTGTTCCCCATCCCCCATCCTTTCCCTCCCCACCTATGCGCCGTGTTGCCATGCGAATCTCCTCTGTCCTGCACCTCCCCATCACCATCTCCCGATCATCATCTGTCATCCCCATATTTACCTCCCCCCATCTCCCCCCCATTTCCCCATCTTCTCCCCCCCTTCACCGCCACCCCATCAACCCCACCATCAACTCGCCGTGTTGCCATGCATGTGCACCAGCGAATCCCCTCTGCCCTGCGCCTCTCCATCACATCTGTTTCCATCAGCCATCATCCCCCTCTTATCCCGGCATCTCCCTACCATCTCCTCCCTACGTTTCCCCATCAACCCCTCCTCCCAGCGCGCCGTGTTGCCATGCATGTGCACCAGCGAATCCCCTTTGCCCTGCGCCTCCCCAATCACCAGTTCCCGCTCACCATCTCCCCATCATCCCACCCATCCCCATTATCCCCCCCGTCAGCGCGCCGTGTTGCCATGCATGTGCACCAGCGAATCCCCTCTGCCCTGCGCCTCCCATGGGAGGGGGCAGTTGAGGGGGAACAGCAAGGGGTGGGCGAGGAGGAAGAGGAGGACGACAAGGGGGGAAGGCGGGCGTATTTTGTGCATCGTGTTCACATCAGTATGGGCAGGAAGGCAGATGAAGATGGAAGAAAGCATGCAAGCGAGGATGCTAGAGGGAGTGACACTAAGGAGGATGGCAGTGAACGTGACTGTAAGGAGCGTGAGGGAAGCAGAGGGGTAGCTGAGGAGGAGGAGGAGGAGGAGGAGGAGGAGGAGGAGGAGGAGGAGAAGACTCCATCAGGCCTCGGCTCTGCCCAAGAAACCTCCCGGTTTCTCCTCTTATGCGTGGGGGAACTTGGTCCAGAGTGTGGGGCGGCGATGTTCGGACTGTTCCCGAAAGGAGTGGGCCATGCGACAGTGCAGCTGACTCCCATGGGCCGTGTGGTGCTCTCTGCCAGTCAGGTATGCGACCTTGTGTACCTTTGCTGCACGCCTGTCGTCCCCCCTCTCCCTCCTCCCCCACCTGCTTCCCTTGCACGCTCATCTCCTCATGTTCTTCTACACGCTTCTCATCTGCACCTTCCCATTGCTCTTCCCCTCCCCCACCCACCCTCCAACTTTCCCTCTGCCCGCACCTACTTACATGTCCTTCCATGCACATCTCTTCCGCATACCTTCCCCCATTGCTCTTCCCCCATTGCTCTTCCCCCATTGCTCTTCCCCCATTGCTCTTCCCCTGTCCCCGCCCTCCCCACTACCCGCGCCTGCTTCCCTCCCTTGCAGGCGCGTCTGCTCATGTCCTTTCACGCGCATCTCTTTGCCACTCTCCTGCGCCGCTGCCGCCGCTGCTGCCAATCCGCACCCATTCCTAGTGCTGGCCGTGGCAGTGCTGCCCTTGACAATGTTTCCCCTAGCACTGCTTCCCAGTACCAGCCATCCCCGTTTTGGAATGGCTCGTTGCACTATTTAGTTGCTCCGGTGGCTCAACCGTTGTCGATGGGCAGTCCCTGCCAGGGTGCTGCTGCTGCTGCGGGTATGGCTGCAGCAGCAGCAGCAGCTGCTGCCGCTGGTGTTGCTGCTACCACTGCTGCTGGAACTGCTGGTGCTGCAGCTACTGCTTCTGCTGGAACTGCTAGTGCTTCTGCTGTTGAGATGGCTGCTTCTCGTGGTGGTGGTGGTGCTGCTGGTGCTGGTGCTGGTGCTGATACTGATACTGCTGCTGCTGTTTGCGGCGACACAGACACGACTGAAGCCGACTTTGCTGGGCCAGAGGGAAAGAAGAGGAAGCTGTGGGGAGTGAAGCTGGGTGGGAGTAAGGTGGAGGGCGATGGAGTGCGGTGCGGAGGAGTAAAGGGTTCATTTGGAGAAAAGGGAGAGGCAAGGTCGGATATGGATGTGTCTGGAAAGGAGGAAGAAGGGGAGGAGTTGAAGGGAAAGGGGAGGGGTCGGGGCGAAGGGGAGGAGTGGAAGGAGGTGTCGCGTGCGGCGATCGACTGGGCTGTAGTCATGTCTGTTGCTGATGCTTCTCTGTGGCTGGTAGATGCTACAGAGGGGGGTGAGGGGATGGGGGAGGCGACGAGGGTGGGGGGGGAGAGGAGCGTGGGGGAAGAAGGGAGAATGGGAGAGGAGAGAGTGGGGGAGGAAAGGGAAGGGGAAGAGGAGGGGATGCAACCAAAACGAGGAACCAAAGTACAAGGGGGTCGAGGAGAGCAAAGGAACAGGCAAGGAGACCGAGAAGAGCAGTGCGAGCAGGGGGCAGGAGAGCGAGAAGCCACAGAGGAGCAGGGGCGTGATGGGTTGCACTGTGAGCAGCAGCAGGGGCTGAGAGTGCTGGGGCGGCACATGCAGAGACAGAGCCTAGAGGAGCAGCTGGAAGCTGTGGAGCGCATGAGAGGGTGTGTGGTTGTCGCCAGGCACACTGGAAGAGGGCGCGTTGACAGCTCTCAGCAGGGGCTGAGAGTGCTGGGAGGACACATGCAGAGACAGAGCCTGGAGGAGCAACTGGCTGCAGTGGAGCGCATGAGAGGGTGTGTGGTTGTCGCCAGGCACACTGGGTGGCTGTATCGCGTGTCTCGGGGGGAGGCGGGGAGGGATGAGGGTAAGAAGGAAGAGGGGAAGGATGGGGAGGGGGAAGGGGAGGCTCGGGAGGAGGAGGTTGGAGGAGAGGGCGTGTTGACAGCTCTGAGTCCCTTCCCTAATGAAGGCTATTCGACGTTCGAGGAGTATTTCAGAGAGAGGTAGGCTGGGTGTGTGTGTGTGAGTGATTGAGTGAGTGAGTGAGTGAATGAGTGAGTGAGTGAGTGAGTGAGTGAGTGAGTGAGTGAGCATGTGAGTGAAGAACAGGCTTCGCCTTACGACGATTCGAAATAGTGAAGCTTGCTCCTCCTTTTTAACATTGTCTCCCCAAGGACAGATATGTGCCCCCACCTACCTCTGCTGCTCATGCCAGCGCTTTAACCTTGACCTCTGCTTCTCTTTTCTTTCCAGGCACGGTGTGCGGCTGGTGTGCCCTCATCTCCCTCTCCTGCTCTTGCAAGCGCTTTGACCTTGACCCTGCAAGTATGAACCCTAAACCTTCTGCTCTAAAACCCTGTCCCTTATCAGGCACGGTGTGCGACTGGTGTGCTCCCATCTGCCTCTGCTGCTCATGCGCTCGCTTCCCTCTGCCAAGGCCTGCCTCAAGCTGCCCTCACCAAACGACATGCCTAAAGGTGAGGCAGTGTGGAAAAGCAGTGGGAAGGAGGTGGTAATGCAGCAGCAGTAGCTGGTGTGCCCCCATCTGCCTCTGCTGCTCATGCGCTGGCTTCCCTCTGCCAAGGCCTGCCTCACGCCTCCCTCGCCAAGCGACATGCCGAAAGGTGATGCAGTGGTGGTGATCAAGTGGGGAGGCAGTGGGGAGGTCTGTAACTTTGTGACACTTGGCAAGCCTTATTTGATTTGATAATCTTGCTTTATTCCCCTTACTCCTCGTCGCTCTTTCCTCCTTCTTAACCCCTTCATCTCTCCCTTAACTGCTAACCATCAAAAGCACCCCTCCACCCCACTCCTCCTCCTCCGCCTCCTCTCGCCTGCTCTCCGAACCGCCTCGCTGCTCTGTGCTGCCCTCATTGCGTCCCTCTGTGCTCTTCCTTCACCACAGCTTCTTGTGCTCACCCTTTTTCCTCTCCTCCCTCCATACCCACTCCCCCCCTCCCTCTCTCCCCTCTCCCCCGCGCACCCTCCCACCATCACTCCTACAGCCTCCAAGACCACTCCTACATCCTCCTCCCCCTCCTCCTCTCGCCCATTCTCCGTGCTGCTCCCCCCCGAACTGCTCCATCCACTCATGGCCTTCCCTCTCTACCAGGCCACCTCGCTGCTGCCCTCTGTGCTGCCCTCCGTGCTGCTCCCTGTAATGCTTTATCGTTGCACCTGCTGCTCTATTGTTTCCACTCCTGGCTTCCAATACCCGTTCTCCCTTTCCTCTCTCCCCCCCCAACCTTTTCCCCTGCAGCCTCCAAGACCACCCCACACCCCGCCTCCTCCCCCTCCTCCTCCTCTCGCCCATTCTCCGTGCTGCTCCCCCCCGAGCTGCTCCATCCACTCATGGCCTTCCCTCTCTACCAGGCCGCCTCGCTGCTGCCCTCTGTGCTGCCCTCCTTGCTGCCCTCGCTGCTGCCCTCTGTGCTGCTCCTTCTCCACATCTAATAGTGTTCACCCAACTCCTCCTATTTCCCTCCCTCCCAACCCCACTCCCTCCCTCTCGTCCTCCCCCCACCCGTCAATCCTGCAGCCTCCAAGACCAGCACCCTTTCCTCTTCCTCCTCCCGCCCATTCTCCGTGCTGCTGCCCCCCGAGCTACTCCATCCGCTCATGTCCTTCCCTCTCTACCAGGCTGCCTCGCTGCTGCCCTCTGTGCTGCACCGCCTGCACGGGCTTCTGCTAGCAGGAGAATTAAGGGACAGAATTGGCCGGGAGGCTCAAATGGAAGTGATTCTCTCAAAGCTTCCAGTCACTAGGGTGAGTGTGATGCCCCTCCCTGCTGCACACCCTGTCGCGCTCGCTGCTGTCCTCCGTGCTGCACCGCCTGCGCAGGCTTCTGCTAGCAGGAGAGTTAAGGGACAGGATTGGTCGGGAGCCTCAAATGGAAGTGATTCTCTCAAAACTTCCGGTCGCTAGGGTGAGTGTGATGTCCCTCCCTTCTGCACGGCCTGTCGCTCTCGCTGCTGCCCTCTGTGCTGCACCGCCTGCATGGGCTGCTGCTGGCAGGGGAGGTGAGGTGAGGGACAGGATAGGCCGGGAAGCTTAGATGGAAGGGGTGCTCTTGAACCTTCCGGTCGCGAGGGTGAGTGTGATTCAAAAGGGGTGGGACTGGCCCTGCTTCTTTCGCTGAGGTGACTTTTGAGTCGACTCAAAAGTCACCTCATGGGACCGGCCCTGCTTCTTTCGCTGCTGCCCTCCGTGCTGCACCGCCTGCAGGGGCTGCTGCAGGCAGGGGAGGTGAGGGAGTGGATGTGGCGACAGACAGTTAGCTTGCCATGCCCCTTCATCATGTTTTTCGTGTTCGTTCGTTCCTCTCCTTTGGGTGAAGGCGGATCCACTTTCCACTCACTAGAGCCCCAAGTAGGAGGCATGGCGTAGCGTGGCAGCAGCTGTGTTTAGCAAACAGTTTGTTAGTTTGGTTTTAGGCTTGCTTGTGACAGTTAGCTTGCCGTGCCCCTTCATTATGTTTTTTTTGCTCATTTCTCTCCTTTGGGTGAAGGCAGAGTGTTTTTGAGAATTCTCAAAAACACCCTGCAGCATTATGTTTGTTGTGTTCGTTCCTCTCCTTTGGGTGAGGGCAGATCCACTTTCCACTCACTCTTTGTGCTGCGCCTTCCCCTTGATCCCTCTCCCCTCTCCCCCCTCTCTGCAGCTCCTTCACGCCCCAAGTGCCCAGTCCACGGGGAAGGGCTTTTCCTATGAGAGGGACGAGCTGCTGGGGGAGCTGCTTACTTTTGAGTCGACTCAAAAGTCAGCTTTTGAGTCGACTCAAAAGTCCCTCTCCCCTCCCCCCCCTCTCTGCAGCTCCTTCACGCCCCAAGTGCCCAGTCCACGAGGAAGGGCTTTTCCTATGAGAGGGACGACCTGCTGGGGGACTGCTTCCCGAAGGCTGACTCTGCACCCTGGGTGTTTCCCATTGCTTAGTTGGCGATTCCGATATGAGTTTGGATGCTGACGACCTTGAAGGGCTTTTCCTACGAGAGGGACGAGCTGCTTGGGGACTGCTACCTCAAGGCGGCGGTCAGCTCACATCTTTTTCAGTCACTTCCCTCTGCTGCGCCTCTCCCCTGCCTGCAACCTCTCATCTTTCCTTCTCGTCTTCCTACCCTCTGCAGCTCCTGCACGCCATAACAGCCTACTCCACCGGCTGATTCATTGGTTTTATCTCACCCTTTCCAAACCCTCTCTTCTCCCTCTTCTGCAGCTCCTGCACGCGATAGCAGCATGCTCAAGAGGAGAGGGCTTCTCCTACGAGAGGGACGAGCTACTGGGGGACTGCTACCACCAGGGGTGGGGCATATGTACTGTCTTCTTCAAGGCAGGGGTCAGCTTGTATCTTGTTTCATTCGCACACATTCACTCTCTCCTGCTCACCTCTCCCCTTCCCCCAGCTCCTGCATGCCATAACGGCCTACTCAACTGGTGAGGGCTTTTCCTACGAGAGGGACGAGCTGCTGGGGGATTGTTTTCTCAAGGCGGCGCTCAGCTCACATCTTTTTCGCGAGCTGCCCGGCGCACATGAGGGCGTGCTGACTCAGCGCCGCACCGACGCTATCAGCAACGAGGCGCTGCTATCAACTGCCAGGGAGAAGAAGCTGCATGTGAGTAGGGAGATAGCAGAAAGAACCGGTGGGTGGGTCAAGCGAGTTTAATGGTGTAGCTGCCCGGCGCGCATGAGGGTGTGCTGACTCAGCGCTGCGCCGATGCTATCAGTAATGAGGCGCTGCTTTTGACAGCAACGAACATGAAGCTGCATGTGAGTAGGGCGATAGCAGAACCGGTGGGTGGGTCTGTCTAGTGGGTCTAGTGGGCCAGTGGGTGCAGTGCATGCGCACGTCGAGGGCGTGCCAAGTAGCTCATGGGTTGAGTGGCTTGAGTGGAATGGATATGAAGCTTTATGTGATTAGGGAAAAAGTTCAGCGGAATAGGTGGCTCTGGTGGGACTAGTGGTTCTAGTTGGTCTTGTGGGTCTCGTGGAACCGAAGATGCATGTGCATGTGATGAGTTCATGTCATCACGCACTCCTCTCCCTCTGTCTCACTCTCGCTGTCCGTTCTCCAGGAGTATCTGCGAACGCGGATATTCACAGCAGGGAAGTGGCATATGCTAGGCGTTGCCTTTCGCTGCTTTTCACCTTCCCCTTCTTATTCCCTGGCAAAGGGGAAGGTGAAACGCAGCGAGGAGCAATGTCTGGCACATGCCACTTCCCTGCTGTGAATATCCCAGTTCGTAGATACTCCTGCTGAGAGACATTGGGGATGAAGTGAGAGAAGTGTATTGGGACTGAGAAGAAAAGTGTTATCTTTCGTTGCCTCCCTTTGCTCCTCGACTTTGTGTCCGTCTCTCTCCTTCTCTCCCCAGGAGTATCTGCGGGCCAGGATATTCACAGCAGGGAAGTGGCACGTGCCAGGTGTTGCCCCCCCAAACCCACAGCATAATCCACCTCCCCTCCTCCGCCTACATCCCCTCCTTCAGGAGTATCTGCGCACTGGAATCTTCACAACTGGAAAATGGTACGTGCCAGGTGTTGCTCCTCGTGACTATCCATGCGGGCATGCGCAGTTGAAGCAGCAGATCAGGGAGCGGCGAACACAAGGGATGGGGAAGCAGCACGCATTGGAAAGGAGGAGGAGAAAGAAGAATCCAAAGCAGTCTGCAGCTCAAGGGATGGAGCAAGAGGCAAGGGAAGGGGAGGAGGGGGAGGGTGGAGGGAAGAATGGAGCAGATGAGGAGGACGAGGAAGGGGTTAACAGATCTGGAGAAGGGGAGGAAGAGGATGAGGAGGGAGAGGAGGGGGAGGAGGGGGAGGAGGAGGAGGGAGCGGAAGAAGTGGAGGAGGGAGAAGATGACGAGGAGGAGGAACAGGAGGAAGAGGAGGAGGAGGAGGTGGGTGAAGACGATGAAAAAATTGAAGAGGAAGGAGAGGATACAGATGAGGGGAGTGAGGAAGAGGTAATGGATGAAGAGGAAGGGGATGAGGAAGACGAGGAGGAGGAGGAGGAGGAGGAGGAGGAAGAGGAGGAAGAAGCGGAGGAAGATGACAAAGAGGAAGAAGAGGAAGGAGAAAGGGAGAAGAGAAAAGCCTTAGTAAACAGTGCTCTTGAAACTGAAGAGGTCTGCATTGTTGAAGGCGAAGGTGTTGAGAGCGGTGGAAGCAGCAAGGTGGGAGGAATCAACCACATGAAAGCATTGAACCCGCTACCTCCCTTGGTGGTGGTATCCCCGCCTCCTGTGCGCGTGTCTGGGAAGGCTTTAGCTGATTTGGTGGAAGCTCTGGTGGGGTGTGTGTGGGACACGTGTGGGGCTGCTGCTGCTACACGTGTCATGGCCTGGTTGGGTCTTCCGGTGGGGCTGTCTGGATTTGAGGGGGTGGATGTGGGTCGAGGAGAGAGGGAGAGAGTGGCTGGGAGAGCGGGTGGTGAGGTGTGTGGAGGGGTGGGTGAAGGGGTGTGTGGAGGGGTGGGTGAAGGGGTGTGTGGAGGGGTGGGTGAAGGGGTGTGTGGAGGGGTGGGTGGAGGGGTGTGTGAAGGGGTGGGTGGAGGGAGGAGTGGGAAGAGTGTGGAAGGAAACGAGGGAGAGGTGTGTGTGGGTGGGAATGGGGAGAAAACCGCAGAGGACATAGGAGCGAGGGGTTCTGATACAGATGAGTTGATGATTGAAGAAAGTGGGAGAAAGGAAGGAGAGGAAGGACGAGCGAGGGGAGAAGAGGAGGGAGGGGAGGAGGAAGGAGAGCAGAGAGAGGAGGAGGGTGGAGGCGAGAAGGGGCTGTCTGGAGTGAGGGAGATAGAGAAGGCACTGGGATATGAGTTCAGAGATAAACGGCTGGTGCTGGAGGCCCTAACCCATCCCAGCTTCGTCAACTGGGCCTCTGACGAAGTCGTCACGTGTTACCAGGTAGGTCTCTCTGATAATACAGTCTCGTATTTCCAAGTGAGCTTCTCGGCGTCTCCAAAAGGTCTGTGAGGGGTGAGGTCGTGAGGGGGATAGAGTAGGCACTGGGGTACGAGTCAAGGGATAAGTGGCTGGTGCTGGAAGCCCTAACCCATCCCATCTTCGTCAACTGGGCCTCTGACGATGCAGTCTCGTGCTACCAGGTGAGCTATTTGAGACAGCAGCTCATGTCAAAGGGGTTGTGTGGGGCGAGGAAGGTAGAGGCGGCACTGGGACACGAGTTCAGGGACAAGCGGCTGGTGCTGGAAGCCCTGACTCACCCCAGCTTCGTCAACTGGGCCTCTGACGAAATGGTGACGTGTTACCAGGTGAGACTGTCTGATTAGGATGATGATGATGATGATTTTGCAGCTGATCCAACCTTTTATGACGCTGCTTTGAACCCAACCTCCGCTTCGTGCTCATTGTTTCACCTCACCCTCTCCTCGCTGCTCATTACCTCTCCTCGCTGCTCATTACCTCTCCTCGCTGCTCATTACCTCTCCTCGCTGCTCATTACCTCTCCTCGATGCTCATTACTTCGTCCTTGCAGAGATTGGAGTTTCTTGGAGATGCTTTTATAGATTACTTTGTGACACGTCAGCTGCACGTGCAGCACCCGCACCAGACGCCACGTCAGCTCACCTTTCGCCGCGCCGCGCTCGTCAACAACGAGAACCTCTCCCGCATCGCCACGTCAGCCGTTTCTGCTGCTGGTGCCACGTCAGCAGGAGGCTCGGGATTGGCCCTGCACCGCCACATCAGACATTTCTCGGTCCACCTGGGCGGGGAGATTGCAGCGTTTGTGAGGGACCGAGAGGAGAGGAGGGAGAGGGAAAGGAGTGAGAGGGAGAGGAGGGAGAAAGAGAGGAAAAAATATAGGAAAGAGGTTATGGAAGGAGAGAACCAGAAGGGGGAGGGAGCAGCAGAAATGGCTAAGTCAGTGGGAGGCAGATGGGGTGGTGGGAACACAACAAGGGTGGGAGGGCGAGGAAGTATGGGGGTGCCTGCAAGTGTAATAGGAGTAGGGGTTGTAAACCAAGCAGGGATCACCAGCTTGGAGGTGTCTCACAAGGGGTTTGCGGACAGTGCAATGGGGGAAGGGGAGATGGAGGAGGGGGGAGAGAGGGAGCGGGGGAAGCAGAGGAAGGAGGTGGAGCGAGAGGAGGAGGGTGGAGAGGAGGGGGGAGAGGAGGGGGGAGAAGAGGGGGGAGAGGAGGGGAGGAGGGAGAAGCTGGATGGATACTTTGGGGAGGGCGGAGTGCAGGCTCCTAAGGTGTGTGGCTCTCAAAAGGGAAAGCCTTTCTTTTTCATGGGGAGGTACAGTCTGAGTCAACTCAAAGTCTGCTGGATGGATACTTTGGGAGGGTGGAGTGCAGGCTCCTAAAGTGGGTGGCTCTTTAAGAAGAAAGTTGTTGTAAGAAGAAGGTGCATTGTTGAGTCGACTCAAAGTCAGCTGGATCAATTTGGGGAGGGCTTGCGGAGTGCAGGCTCCTAAAGTGGGAGGCTCGCAAGGAAAAGTGCAATCACTGCGGTTGGTTTGAGTTATAGGTACATGCACATGCTGTTATCCCCCCTATCCATTGATGACAAATTCTCGACAGATCGGAGCGGCCCCATGGTTCATAATTTCTTCTGAGTCGACTCAACATTTCCAAGCCTTCAGTGATGTGTCGGTAGTTTATTATTCTCGACAGATCGGAGCGGCCCCATGGTTCATAATTTCTTCTGAGTCGACTCAACATTTCCAAGCCTTCAGTGATGTGTCGGCAGTTTATTATTCTCAACAGATCGGAGCGGCCCCATGGTTCATAATTTCTTCTGAGTCGACTCAACATTTCCAAGCCTTCAGTGATGTGTCGGCAGTTTATTATTCTCAACAGATCGGAGCGGCCCCATGGTTCATAATTTCTTCTGATGTTCCTCACCTCCATCTTTCTCTTGGTTGTCATCTTGTTACATTCTCTCACTTACCTCTCAGTTCTCAAGTCGACTCAAATATTGATGCTCTTCACATTCATATTTTTTCTCGGTTCTCATCTTTCCACGTTCTCTCAATCACCTTTCAACCGCACACCACCGCACACCACCCATGCCATAGGAGACGTGCTCGAGTCCCTGGTGGGTGCAACGCTAGTGGACTGTGGGTTTGACACCGAGAGGGTGTGGGCACTCTTCAGCACTCTCCCCTCCCTCTGCACCCCCCTGCACTCCTCAGGCAATAGGAGACGTGCTCGAATCCCTGGTGGGGGCGACTCCGGTCGACTGTGGGTTTGACACCGAGAGGGTGTGGGGGCTCTTTTCCCAGTTCTTCCCCACCCGTGTCACTGCTGCCTCTGCTCTGCGCTTATTCCCTTAACTTCGTCTCCTTCTCCCCTCCCCCCTACTTTTCCACACACTCCTCCTCAGGCCATAGGAGACATGCTAGAGTCTCTGGTGGGGGCAACGCTAGTGGACTGTGGGTTTGACACCGAGAGGGTGTGGGGACTCTTTTCCCGGTTCTTCCCCACCCGTGTCACTGCTGGTTCTGTTGTTACCCGCCCGCCCACCTCGCTTTTCTTTGAGCTGACTGGAAAACTGGGGCACGGCGGGAAGCTGGTGGTTGAGAAATGCCGGAAACCTGGGGCAGGAGATAAAAAAGAGGGAGAAGCAGAGGAGGAAGGGAAGAGGGAGGGGGACATGATAGGAGAGGGGGGAGATGAGGAGGAATGGGGGGAGGAAGAAGAGGGGTGGAGGAGGAAGAGGGAGATGGAATGGTGGAGGTGTAAAGCTGTGGTGGGAGGGAGGGAGGTGGCAATGGCAGTTAAAGCACACAAGAGTATGGCTCGGAAAGCTGCTGCTGAGCTAGCACTAGAAGAAATCAAGAAAATGATGGTGAGTCAGGCAGGCTGCTACTATTGGTCCTTGGTTCCAGAGTCAATGCGAGTCAATGCGAGTCAACGCAAGCACAAGGGCATGGCTAGGTAGGAAGGCTACTGGTGAGCCGGCTCTAGAAGGGATCAAGACAATGATGGTGAGTTGAGTGGTAGGCCACTTTACTGGTCCTTGGATTGGCTGTAAGGAGGGAGATGGAGTGTTGGAGGTGTAAGGCTGTTGTGGGAGGGAGGGAGGTGGCAGTTGCGTTGAGACCACACGAGATCATGGCTCGGAAAGCTGCTGCGCTGAGCTTGCTCAAAAGGCTGCTGCGCTGAGCTGGCTAGGAAAGCGGCTGATGATGAGTCATGGTTGCAACTTTGAGAATATTAGTAAATTCAGCTGGAATGGAATCAGCTCAGTATGACTGCTTGACCGGACACTTCTTTATGTGTAAATACCTTGTCGCTGTGACTTGCAGGAAAACGGTATGTTGAATCCACAGAAGAGGAGGCAGCAGCGGAAGACGCAAAGCATGAAGAATTTGAAAAATAAGAAGAGTCTGAAGGGTCAGGAGCAAACGGTTTCAATACAGCCGAAGCAACAGGAGCAGCAGCAGCAGCAGCAGCAGCAGCAGCAGCAGCAGCAGCAGCAGCAGGAACAGGAACAGCAGCAGCACCAGAAGCAGCGGCAGCAACAGCAACAGCGGCAGCAGCAGGGGTTGCGGCAGCAGCAAGAGCAACAGCAGCGGAAGGAGCAGCAGCAGCAGGAATCTGAACAGTGGCATACAGCATCAGAGCCGAAGCAGGGCGCAGCAGCAACACCACCACCAGTTGCAGCAGCAGCAGCAGCAGCAGCAGTGGCGGCAGTACCAGCAGCAGAGGTGCAGGCTGCGAATCGATTGCAGACAAGAGCACAGTCTCGGGCAGCAGCATTGCAAGTACGCACAGCAGCTGCACACGCAGCAGTAGCACAGACAGCATCAGCACAGGCAGCACAGACAGCATCAGCACAGGCAGCACAGACAGCATCAGCACAGGCAGCACAGACAGCATCAGCACAGGCAGCACAGACAGCATCAGCACAGGCAGCACAGACAGCATCAGCACAGGCAGCAGCAGCACAGACAGCATCAGCACAGACAGCAGTAGCACAGACAGCATCAGCACAGGCAGCAGCAGCACAGGCAGCAGCAGCACAGGCAGCAGCAGCACAGGCAGCAGCAGCAGCACAAGCAGCAGCAGCACAGGCAGCAGCAGCGATACTACAACAGAAACAGCAGCAAGAGCAGCCAGAGCAGAAACAGCAGTGTGAGAGGCAGCAGCAGGAGCAACATCAACAGCAACAACAGCAGCAACAACAACAGCAAGACCAGTCAGTGGTGTCAATTGCTGCTCGATTGGACCCACCCACCCCTCCTCTCTCCCATTCCACCGCACACCCCCTCTCTCCCCGCGACCCTACATCTATCTCCCCTTCAAAAAACCCTGATAAATCTGATAATCCTACCGCATCTATCTCCCCTTCAAAAAACCCTGATAAATCTGATAATCCTACTGCATCTATCTCCCCTTTGGGGATCCCAGGCTCGAAATTCCCACAGCTCGGGTCTGCAGGTTTGGTGCAGTCAGGCTCGGTAAGTGGTGGTGTGGCTTGGGAGCCGCAGGCTCGCGAGAAGAGGGTGAGAGTGAGTGTGAGAGTGGAGGACTTGTGGGGGGATCAGAGAAGAGAGGGCACATCAGCATCACTACCAGCAGCGCTACCAGCAGCGGCACCAGTACCAGAAGCACCAGCACGGGCATTGCCAGCAGCAGCAGCAGCACTAGGTGCAGCAACACCTCCCCGTCACCAGGCCCTGCCTCTTCGCCAAGCCGCCACACAAGCGGCATCAACAGCAACATTACCAGCAATGGCGCAGACACCAGCGCTACCAGCAGCAGCACCAGCCCATCCTCAAGCCGTGCCCCTTCAAAAGCTCGCCAGACAAGCAGCACCAGCAGCAGCAGAAGCAGAAGCAGCACCAGCAGCATTGCCAGCACCAGCGCTACCAGGAGCACCGCCATCAGCCATACAGTCTCACGTGCTGCCTATCCAACAGGCCGCCACACAAAGAGCAGCAGTGGCAGCACCACCAGTAGCTGCAGCATTACCAGCACTAGCACCAGCAGCAGCACGAGCAGCAGCAGCACTTTCTCAGGCCCTCCCTATCCGACAGGCTGCCACGCAAGCAGCGTCAGCAGCACCAGCAGCAGCGTTACCAGCACCGGTGCTACCACCACCAGCAGCAGCACCAGCAGCAGAAGCTCTAGCTCGTCATCAAGCCCTGCCTATCCGTCAGCCCGCCACACAAGCAACACTCAGAAGGCTCATCACAGCAACTGGTGCGTATTCAAGGATATCATGCCTGTCGTGATTATCATTTTTATGAGCATGGAAAACAGTTTGTAGGCAACCCCAAGTACAGTTTCCCAGTGTCCTCCTCTTGTAATGCCACCTGTCCTCTTATAGCTTGAATTGCCAACTAAATTGTCCTTGCTCTTGCATTCTGTTTTCTTTGTTTTCTCCTGAGCTTGTTAGGCAGCCTTGAAAGTTCCCCGTTCTTGTCTCTCGTTCCCCTCCCGCTTCTGTGTGTTTTTTCAGGTATTAATTGCTACAGCTGGAAAAGAATCTTTGAACCAGATGTCCACTCAAAGAGCGTCTCGCTACAAGCTCTGAATGAGCTGGCTGTAGCAATGTGTTCCCAAGTCTCATGGACGGATAACTACTCTTCTGGGAGCACTTTGCAGCACACCTCCGTCCTTTCTGTTCGAATAGACGGGCAGATTTTACAGTTTGTTGGATGTGGGGCTGCAAAAAAAACAGCTAGGAGCGCTGCTGCCCGGGAGTTTCTTGCAGCTATCCGGGCCTATGTGGATATTCTGCGATCCGAATGCGGGTCACGTGTAGTTTGATAGCAGTTCAACAGCAGTTGAGTACGATGTGCATGTCAAACTATATCTATGCTAATTCTGTGTAGGCTACAGTGAGGTAGCCTGTATGGGGTACAACCCAATGTTAGGGTTAGTACTTGTACCCACAATTCATTCAATGCAGTCATTCTAGCTTTTCATTTTGACATGGTTTCAGAGCAGTCGTCCGTAGGACCGTTTTATTTTTTCGGGCCCACCATTCCGACTGCGGTTACCGCGTTACGCCATTGCCTTACCCCGTGTCGCGCTGCCCCGAGCACGCTGCGGAGATAACTACTACAACGGGAGCTAGACTACTGGTTAGGCACGTGTGCTCGTGTGATCTCTGCGTTCGTTGGTCCTTAGGCGTATTCCTAGTGCTCACACTGCTTGCTAGTTCACGGGGCAATTTGGCAAGAGTTTCACTAAGAAAAGATGACAACAATGATACAATCAAGTTGGCATGGCAAGACTACATTAGAGCTAGCATTCATGTTGGTCGACTGCCAGCACAGCATGGTCGACCGCGTTCCAGCACGACTTGGTCGACCGCGCTCCAACAGTGCAAAGTCGACAGCGTGCCAACGCTGCAGGTTGACGGCGTGCCAGTGTTGCTCCCGTAGAACAGCAGCGCACCTACTTTACAGGTGCTCGTTGATGATTGGAGGGCTAAGCCTTGTCACCTGAACAGTGCACGCACCAAGTCATCTTCGTGCTGACGGCTCCACCTGATCCGCCACGTCGACCTCGGGATACCACCACTGGGGTCGGACTCGCCAACGTTGCCTGGGCAACCGTCGCACTCCTTCGCAGAACCTCGTCACCCAGGTATCCTGGTCGATCGGGCAACTATGTCGACCAGCTGCTCCTGTATATGCTCGTCGACCTCCCAAGTCGACAACCACACCAAGTCGACCTCACCAGGTCGACCACTCCTCTGGTCGACCAGCTCCAGGTCGACGTCACTCCTGGTCGACCAGTGCAGTTGTCAGCCGACCACCCAAGTTGGCTACCCAAAGTCGGCGTCACCAGGTCGACGTCGGCGCCGATTTCCAGACTGACCTCTTGAAGTCGGCGACCTCCCAAGTCGGCGCCGACTTGCAAAGTCAGTGACCTTGCAAGTCGGTGACATAGCAAGTCGGTGACCTGGCAAGTCGGTGACCTGGCAAGTCGGTGACCTGGCAAGTCGGTGACCTGGCAAGTCGGTGCCGACTTCCAGGTCGATGTGCCACATCGCCAACCACCAGTTGAAGTCGGCCACCGGCTTCCCAAGTCGACGGCATTGCAGTGGCGCCGTGCAAGTCGACCACCCCGGTCGACCAGCTCGTCCAAGTCGGCGTCGCCCACTGCTGCAAGTCGGCTGTACCTTCCGTACACCCCACCACGAAGTCGGCTCCGCCCAAGCGTGGACGGGGCCAACACACAACTCCCGTTGACACTCCCCTGCCGCGTTCACGCTTGGCCCCCCCCCCAAGTCCACTCGCCAATACTCCTCGGAGAATAGCTCGTCGACGTGCACCCAGCACACAGCACGTCGTCCACCGCATCAACCATGCAA